AGAGGCCTGACAAACTCAATCTCCAGGTTGGGGGTTGAAGTGAGGGTGGCTCCTCACTCCAGAAAACGGGCTCTCTGTAGTCCAGTGCCAAAATTTCGCTGCCTTGCGGTAAGGTTTTTGAACCAAACGCTTTGGTTGAGAACCCTAATCGTTCTCCTGTTTAGGCCTGGGCAAGCTGACACTATCCTACCCACGCAATCCCTGACTTCTCCTTCAAATAATCTTTTGGTGCTCTGGCCGCTGCAGAGGATAATAAACGGCGCCCTATCTGCTGCATCGATCGAGGTGGATAGGGGTTTGGATGCTACTGCTCAAGCATTCACGTTTTCTTGCGCTTTTTCATTCTTATCGTCCCGTCTCAACTTTATTTTTATCCACTCGGTTTTCAATCCCCAATTCTTGGCCTTCCACCATCTTTGTTCAATAAACGGTTATCTTTTAATTTCAACTCACACGCAGTCGTAGGGCGTCGCTTCGGTCGTCTGTAAGTTCATGTCCACCCAAAAGGACAACGTCAGTTCATCTGCTTCTATTTGGAGCCGTCGGCCCACCCTAAGACTGGCATTCCTCAATGTGCGCACTTTGTTGCAAACATGCCCAGACACTGGAGACCCTATCGATCGACGTCTGCTGCTTGTCAGAAACTTGCCTGCAAGATTCGAGTTCTGTGATAACCCATCCCATCCCCAATGTGCGACACTGGTGGTATTTTTTCACTGAGTTTGTCTGGAGATGAAGCGGCTTCAAATGCCAACCAAGCCGGCGTGGGTATTGCTCTTAGCCCCCGGGTTCAATCTGCCTTGATCGATTGGATCTCAATGAAAAGCCGGATGGGCGCTGTCAGCTTAGCTAGCTAGTTCAAAGTTGCGTGGAGACAAACGGTGCTTGTTTGTCATTGCGGCCTATGCGCCCAGAAATTGCAGCGCTGACTCGGTGAAAGACGACTTCTATCACCAAGTAAACGCGCTCCTCCGTCACAGAAAAAGTACGGATACTGTGGTACTTGCTAGTGATTTGAACGCCCAAGTCGGAAAATTGCCCACTGAGGAGTTTCACCTGGTGTTCAGCACGGTGTAGGTTCCCGTAACGATATCGTTGAGCGGTGGCTACACCTGCGTGAAGATGCTCGGGCGCTATCTTGCGAGCACTAACTTCCGACACAGCGCCCACGGAGGGTGACATGCGCCCGCCAGCCAAGAACGCAAATCGATCTCATTGAGATCAGTTACCGATGGAGAAGATTCGTTCACAACTGTGACTGGAATTGGAGCACGAGCGTGGACGCTGACCACGCACTTGTTTGTGCCGACCTCCGGGTGCGTTTCGGTGGACTTCCGCAATGGCGCTGTAAACGCATGGATATTTGTTAGCTGGCGAAGCCAGATGTTCTGAATGTGTATCAAAATACGCTGGCATCTGAGCTGAGTAAACACACATTGAACACAATTGAGGATCATTGATCGCATATACGCTAGAGGTTATCAGGAGCAGGCATGTCTTCATGTGTAAAATCAAATTTCCACCATGGATATTTGGTCTCTACACAGGTTCCGGAACTTATGGATGATAGCCGACGTATTCCGGCTGGAAGCGAACACAATGAGACTCGCAAAACTCTCAGGGTGAAACTACGTGTTAGCCTGAAGAGAGATCGCGAAGCCTGGTGGTCTCATCATGCCTTGGAGATGGAAACAGCTGCTGCCCTTGGTAACCATCGGAAGGTACTCTGTTTGATACGATTAACAGGAACCTGGTGTTAGCGAGACAATACGGGACGAGAGCAGACAGCCAATCCCCAGCTTGTCAAAGCGCTTGGAGCCTAGGACCGAACACTGAGAAGCAATTTAATCATTCAGAGTTACCAGTTTCTGCATCGGCCAATAAGCGCCCTTCTCTCTGGGTCGTTCCCTGTAATGTGCCCTCGCGCGCAGAAATCGAAAGTGAGATAAGATGGCTGAAAGTGAACAAGTCTGCCGGAGCAGATGGAGTTCATCCAGCCATCTTCAAATTTGGGGGGCCTGCTCTTTTGGACGATTTATATAACTTAATTGTGAATCTATGGAAGCAGGAGACTGTTCCGACAGACTGGAGGCGTTCCATAATAGTTCCAATTTTCAAGGGAGGTTCCCATTCCGAATGCAGCTGTCATAGAGGAATCAATTTGATCCCATTGCCTCTAAGTTGCTTGTGTCCGTCCTCGTCCATAGACTGAGCGGCACTCGTGAAAGCCAGATGCACGAAAAGCAAGCCGGATTTCGTCGAAATCGAGGCTGCATCGACCACATCTTCACTTTGCGTCAATTGCTGGAGCACCGCCATGTTTATTGGCGATCCACCGTAGTCGGGTTCCTCGACATCAAAGGTGCCTTCGATTCGGTTGATCGATGTGCCCTTTGGGACTGTCTACTCAGGAAAGGTGTGTCCGAGAAATACGTAAATGTTATCCGTGCACTATACGCGCGCGGCTCGGGCAGAGTGAGGGCTTATAGCAAGTTGTCACCGCTCTTAAATATCTCCAGCGGTGTTAGAGAATGATGCCCATTGTCACATATCCAGTTTAACTAAGCCATTGACGTAGTCTTGGAAACGGCGTTCGCTAGGCACGACTTAGATTGTGTGGAGCTGCTCACTGGTGAACGACTTCTCGAGTTGGAGTATGCCGACGACATTGCGCTCATTTGTGTCAGCCCCGGAACGTGCCGAGCCGCGCTAGATAAATTAGCTCTGGCTGTCAGTCGTTTCGGGCTATACTTTGCACCACGGAAATGCCAAGTTCTCCATGATTGGCATGGACCCACTCCTGCACTGAACCTTGGCAGTGATAAATTAGAAGTCGTCAAGAGATTCAAGTGTTTTGGAAGCTACATTAGCGACAGTGGAACGGAAGATGAGATCAAAACCGTATAGCAAAAACTCGATGCAATTCTGCTAATCTCCGTCATTTGTGGTGCCGGCGTGACATTACCCTCGCCCTGAAGAGTAAAGTTCACAATGCAACCCTCTGTACACCCCTCATGTGCGGTTGCGAAACGGCCCATCAAGTCGACAGACATAAAGAGGCTAGCTACGTTCGATCATCGCTGCCTTCACAGCTTAGCTCATGTCTGGCGGGAGCACTGCGTGAGCAATGAGCATGTTCAGCATCGCGTATTTGGCGCAGAAAGAGTGAGTGAACCGCTCAGCACCGTTATATCACGCACCAGCCTCCGATGGCTGGGTCACGTGTAGCGCATGCCAGCCCAGCGACTCCCGTGAAGTGCGTTGTTTGCGCGCCGGGGGTCTGGATGGAAGCAGGCGAAACCAAGCGATGACTTGATCCGGAGGAATAAAATCCCTCACTTCGAAGTTGGCGTCGGTTGGTGTTTTTCGACTGTCTGGCTGGGAACCGAAGGATGATGAACACGTTTGGTTGGATATATTAGCTGACATTGCGAAGAGTTTACCTCAGTGGCGTGTGTTGTGTCCCTTGCTCCCAACCCTTCCCTATAGCTTCCCCCTCCAAGAATCATGAAAAGGTGATAGTAGCATTATGTTGCCTTTTTGTAACTTTTAAGTCTACATTGCTTAATGTCTTACCTTTCGTATTGCGGCACATTAGCTGAGATGTGTTTCTCATTCTCGGCTAACGTGTATTGGTGATGATGATGGTTAATCGACACTGGTGCAAAGACATCAAGTGTCGCGCGTTGACCGACCTGTTGCGAAAAAGATACCATCAACGCGTCGCCTCCCCCCCACACCAGTTGATTTGATTCCATGAATTCGCAATGCAGACGGATCATTGTCCTGGTGGTAAATGGGGTTGTGGAGCTAATCCCTCGTAATGTTGCATTCTCATTGTCTTTCAGCAAGGATCGATGTGTCAAGGAACGACGCATTTGTTTACAACAATTATCCGGCTCGCAAAGCATGATACATGTAGGTAAGGTGCTCGGGCTTGGGTAATGTATGCCTGCTATTTGTTTCTGCGTGCGTCGAGAATAACCTGAGCAACTTATTAATAACTCGGAAGAAAAGAAAGGTTGGAGCGATGTGCAAACAATTATGAGCAATCCTTGAGTAACCGAACGCTTTCTAAGGAAATAAACAACAAGGGGACAAGCCATTCGTTTGTCTCATTCCGCATCGTGGATTACAAAAGGGGAAATACACAGGATGTGCAAGCTGACCTGATAGGGAAGAACAGGGATTTAGTGATAAAGTGTCTCCAGTGATGAAACACACACGAGTCGTGCGTTGTGAGATGGAAGCGGATTATACGTGACCAAATAATCACCCAACTTGAGACTCAACACTTGGAAGAGTTGTATCCGTCGTCATTCCAGCTGCCAGTATGGAGTGCGTGTGGTGAACAACGAATGTAACGTTTCTTGGTCCTATGCGGTGGGACCAAGTAGTCGAATAGAAAACTGTTGTCGAAGTGGATGACGCAAAAGGGCAAACTCTAGGGAAATAAGATGAGAAAGCGCTTCGGAAACAAACGCGGAAACGACGACATGGTGAACGCCGTTTGTCGCGTTGTTTGGAAAGGTCATCGGTTTCTAGACAGCTGCGACCTATCGATCAACACGAGGCGTTCAAAGGCAATGCGATTGGAGCAGTTGAGTTCAGCCTTCCTCTTCCAGACCAAGTGATCATGGACCATTGGAGACTTTTGGTACGCAGTCCTACCAAAACAGAGCAGCTATCAGGATGGGTTAAAGACTTATCAGATGTAAACAGTGGTGAGTTGTTGACGTCACAATTCGCCAACTTTAGCCAATTCTATCGACAATGAACGATGGATGAGGTTTCGAGTGTTAGATCAGGCTGAGTGAACAATCGAACAGGTGCTAGGGACGCAAATTCTACGCATTCACGTGGCCGACTAAATGTTTTATCTGGTGTGTTTTGGTATGCGTGGGAGGACAAAAAATCGATTTTGAGGTGAAGAAAAATGACGAAATGGTGTGCTGCGATGCAAAATCTCACACCACACAGACAAGGGTGTCGTGTGGATGGACAGCCGAATGACCATAGAATTTGCACCATCTCCACTTATGCGGTCCCTCAGTGCAAACAAAGAAATAATTACAGATTCGGTAGATCAACTGAGCAGGTTTAAAAGATGTCAAACGCCCTCCTACATACACATCGAATGCGATCCCCGTTGCCTTGAGCCACGACGCTAGTGGAAAACCCCGTATTAAACAGAACAATGGGTAGGTGTCGAGTCTCAATGAAGGTTCCAGCGAAGAGAACGGCGCTGGGCCAATCGGTTTGAAAGTAACCAGAACAGCAAAAGCATGCGTTTGCGGGCGAGGGTAATTCGATGACCATGAACCAAAGAAGATAACACACTGGCGCGCGGTGAATATTTTCGTCGGACTTCTGAGTAAGATGGACTTATGGGCTGCTGAATCGCCCCTTCCTTGCCAACGTCTGGGCGCGGGTAAACAGCTCGGTTTCTATTCTTGATCCCGATGGGTTGTAGACCTTGCGTGGAATGCAAGCCATCATATAAAATGACACAGCAGTAAGAAAACATTTAATAATACGAAGGGATCAAAGACAGAAAATCCGGAACACTCCAAAATTCGCTAGAAAATTGAAACAACCATAAAAGGATCCAAGAACATAGAAACAAGATGTGAAAGTCGAAACAATTAAGTAAAATATATCACAGTGAATTGGATAAGTCAATTTCCACACGGTCCAAGGAGGAGACTGCCTTTGAAGGAAGTGGGATGTTGATGCCGGCGTCCAAACGCGCAGCGAGCCGAGCTGCACCGTAGCCAGCAGTAACCTGAAGCCATACCAGGTGTAAGGTTCCACGCCAGTGAAAAAATTGCCCATCTTCCAGGAATACATCGCGAAAACCTGTGGAAATCAAAAGGAAAGGAGGGATAGAAAAAGAACGAGATTTTCGAGCGTACGCTTGGAAAAGTCTCGGATAAAGGCAATCCTGGTAAAAAGGAAAGAGTTGGATATCTAAATAGTAAACTCAGCGAGAGAACCTCCCTCGCAAGGTCGAAAGAAACCAGTCCAGTCTAACTACGGGCAACGAAACACGGTAGCAGACAAGTATACTTAAGAGAAAATTGGAACCCCGCTAAAAATTTGCGTCTAATGAGCAGAGTATCTTCTAGTCACTCCGTTTTATTTTGCCACGTCCCGCTACTGCACGACATACTAATGAAGTTCGCCAATAGTGCAAAACAGAAAGATGACGAAGTTATTGAGACATCGGAGAAAGCAAATTCGGTTAGCCTCTTTCGGTACGGTGTGTCAACGAGACATGTGAAAACCTATGCCACTCCGGAGCACAACAAACGCGCTTTCATGGCACTTGCATTCATCCTCAGACAACACGGCGGCTAAGAGAGCACAAGACGGTTGTTCATCAAGCTGACTCCAAACACAGCCGAAACGCCGCACTCTCAGTGCTGATGGATCAAGTCAGATGACCGCATAAGCTACGTGATGGCATATACAGACAATAGCATTACTTGTCTGTTTTCGCGTTGTTTCCTTTCAAATAAAGAGAAAGGTATAAAAAACACAGACAATATGTTCACAGACGGTACAAGCCATCCGTTAATGGATAAAATGGTGAGTCAGGAAAGACAACAGCAGGATACCACAGGAATCAGGTAGAAAGTAAAATAAGACCATCGGAAAACGGCGTTACTAATACAGCCAGGTAGAATAGCTGAAATGCAGTGCAATCAGTCGCAAAGCTGGACGGTGCTGTAGAGAAAACAGCTCAGTGACTTCAAACAATTAAGCCGCATTGAATGGAACGGATAAACACGGCCTCCTGAAGTTACAAGGGCCATCTAGGAGAGCAGATAAGGTGCTGCCTCATAAACAAAAGTCAAATTGACATCCACCTTTAAAAATTGCGCTACAGAGAAGAAGCCTGTACATAAACAATGTCCATTCACATCAACAAAGCATCCAGACTTAGATACAGGCGCTCAACTGACAACATAGCACAGACGGCATAGTTAAGTTCCGTTAAGCAACAAAGATCCACACGCCAGATTTAGCTGCTATGACGCATAATAATAACTATCATAATGGGAACGATGTAAGGGAAAACGAGAAAGAAAATCACTCGACTGAGTGGTTATGTGGCAAAAATAAGGATAAAAATGATATATATATATATATATATATATATATATATATATATATGTATATATAGCAGAACCCGCCTTATTGCTCACCGTCAGGATAGCTAAAAAGTTGCCAATAAAGTGAGGCTGGGCAAGTAACTGATATTTCCATATTTTCCAAGAGAGAAACAACCTTAGAATTATTGTACATTATATCACTTGAACTTTAACGTGCTAAGAAGGATAAAATAGGTACTTGTAACTAAGGCCTACAAAAGGAGTTTATTCAGAAGAGCATGACCTATAAATTAACAGTAATAATATAGCGCGCCTTACCTTGATAGCTATAGAAACTGGCGCTACTGTATATTTTTGCTGAGAAAACAATCCAACATCAGTGGTTCATTATTTCGAGCTGCTACTCCAATCACTTTTGCACTGATGAAGTCCAAGTTGGACAAGAAATCGTTGCCTAGCCCATGCAAAAGTCCGTAGCCATACAGATCATTCACGTAGTTCTTTGCTCTTGAATGCAACACGCGCCAATTGCGGTTACTCACAGAGGCATCCGGCACATCATCCTATGGGTAGCCGCCTTCTTTCTGTTCTAGTTGGTTCTCGAAAATTTCACTGACGAGTCCATCTTCAACGGTTGTCAGATTTGAGGTACATTCCACATCGTTGTCAATGGCAACGAACTCTTCTGCATTGATGACTGGATTGTGCAAGCGCTGACCTCGTCCTCAGGGATGACAGCGTCATCAGAAACTGCATCGGATGCCACTCGACTGAAGCCAGCGTGCCGAAAGTAAGCTTTTACTGTTGCACCGGCAACTGTCACCAACATTTTGTAACCAACCGAACTGCATCGAGCGCATAAATCTTGGCGCTGACATCCACCTCCGACGATGAGCCAGATGACATGTTGGTTTCGATGTGATAAAGAACTCGGTCCACAATTTCCTTTCTGTGACGGATTTTCAGATTCATAAGCTCATCTTGGTCCAGAGGTTGAAGAATACTGGTCATGTTTACCGGCAAAAATTCCATTTGAATGTTCTTCAGGCCTTCAACCTGTGGATGTGCTGTGTAATTATCCAAGAGCAACATAATTTTCCCGCCACTTTGGCCTAGATCCTTGCCCTATTCGAAGACACACTCGGTGAAATATTCTTCGTCATCCACGCATTTTTGTTACCTTTGTAAGCTACGGGAAGCGTGTTCATGTTCACGCCATTAAAACCTGCAAGTTTCTTACATTTTCCAATAGAAACTAGATTATTTTTATCCCTGACTGACATATTCCCGCAGCACAGCAGTTCTCGATCCACTGAACTTGTCGGCTGAGAAACATAAAGAGCCCTCCGAAGTTGCGCGGAATAAACGCCTGTTTCTTCCGTATTGTATAAACTGCCATTATCAACTGCATTTCAAAGTTCAGACAGTAGATAATTCAGCCAATTTTCACGGACTGCTCTGTCCGCGGAACTCTCTTCGCAATGCACAAGTTCATACACTAGTTGATTTCTATTCTTCTACCTTTGCAACTATCCTTCTGGAGCAGCAAAGGATTGTCCAAATCTTTCCCCGAATTCTTCGGGGATCTCCGTGTACGCTCAAACTGACTGCAGGGCTGGGTTGTCGAACAATCTCCTCGTGGTGCCAGCTGGGTGGTTCGGGATTTTACCGTTCCAGCATATAGTTCGGCGGCAGTGTTCCAGGACGTAGTGGGTTTTCGCCTGGAAGGCGTTCTCCCTATAAAAAGCCATATATATCCGTTGTACAACACTGTGACGTGGCGGACGTGACTCGCCACTAAATAAAGTCACTGTCCCTTGCTTCATCCTGGCGAAGCATTGTATTCCAGTAACTTTATGTTGTAATTCTAGGGAGCATTGGGCCCGTGTTTGACAAAGGAACAAACGAAAGGCGCATGAACTGAGAAATCAGTCACCGGCTCCCAATGGGCGCGATTCCCTGAATTGGCTCCGCTGCGTTGCGGCAGGCTATTCAGCCAAAGGCTCGGGAGGGGGGGGGAAGTGTCCCCTAAGTCAACATCGTACTTCAGCTTGGGAAACTAGGTAGTTTCTCGCCGTCTGACGAAACCATGGACTTTGATGTGTTTTCGTTTATTATTTCTGTATCTTCTTTTGAGTTCCATGGTTTCCGATGGCTTAGTGTCTATTCATAGACTGTTGAAATATATATATATATATATATATATATATATATATATATAGTCGATTCCGGTTAATAGGACCACCGGTTAATAGGACCAGCCGCTTATTCGGGCCAAATTCTGAAGAACCGAAACGAATCCTATTACGCTAGCCTAATTTTAGCCGCTTATTAGGACCGGAATTCCGCTTAATCGGGCCAGACGATAGGTGGCAGGTAACAGAGGTGTTAAAATCAAGTTCTGTGCCTGGATGTCTGGACTAAACCCACAGTTCATATGTCGGGCAAGAAAGCGTATCATTCAGTCACGGTAATCCGAGTTGGCCTTTGGATAAACTGAACTGTGGCAACCTTGAGGCACATCTATCTAATTGGCTTCAGAACCGCCCGAAACTGACTGTAGTTTCCAACACTTGTAGGCGGAGCGAAGACATACATGCTTGTTCACATGTCGTTAACCGCTCGATCGATGTACCGCACGTCCATTGAGCCGAATGCCCTGAGCCCGCATTGCGGGCCTACTCTCGAGCACGGCAAGTGATCGCGGACACACAGGTCCGGCAATTCATAGGACAGCAGGTGGCTAGGTCAACCATAGAAATACCCGGGAGACGGACTCGAGTTCACCTCAGTGAACTGTGCGTGTCTTGTTGCATGTTAAGAAAATGCCACGACGGGACTTGACGTTAGCTGAGAAGATTCGTTCCCTAGATCAGATCAAGGAACAGGGACCAACCACTAGTCAGCGTCGATTGGTGGAAATTACCTGCTTGGCAAAATCTACAATATCGCGCCTGATAAAACAAAGATGTGAAGGACGACGAGGTAGTTCCCAAAAACGAAAGCGTGAAGGCAAGGATCCAGACGTCGATGAGGCCTTTAATGATTGGTTTGCCTTCGTTACTGGACGAGCCGTGCGAGTAAGTGGCCCAATGTTAAAGTACAAAGCAGAAGAACTCGCTAAAATGCTGGGCCACGAAGATTTTATAGCTACGGACGGCTGGTTGTCTCGATGGAAATCTAGACATGATGTAAAATTTAAGAATGCACATGGTGAGAAAGAAAGTGCCAACTGCGCTCGAGCTGAAGAATGGAAATCAACAAAACTACCAGAGCTTCTTGAAAAATTTCCAGCAGATGACATCTATAATGCTGATGAAACCGGGTTGTACTATAGGGCTACACCGGACGGCTCCTTAAGTTACAGACATGTTACTCTCTCTGGCTGCAAAAAGAGCAATGGATCGCGTAACTGTCTTGTGCTGCTCAAACATGTCCGGAACAGACAAGAGGAAGTTGCTGGTTATAGGAAAATGTGCCAAGCCTCGCTGCTTTAATGGACTCAGAATGGACAGTTTACCAGTTGTGTATGGTGTGAACAGAAATGCATGGATGAGCTCTACACTTTTTAAAGAATGGGTGAAGGATTGGGACACAGAGCTACAACGCCAGTCCAGAAAAGTGTTATTACTTCTCGACAATTGTGCAGCACATTCAAATTTGGATTACTTGCAGAATATCCAGATGGAATTTCTGCCTCCCAAGACCACATCTTTGATACAGGCAATGGACATGGGCATCATAAAAAATTTGAAGATCTTTTATTGTTCAAGATTGGTGAATTACATCCTTGAATCAATTGAGGAAGGCTTGCTGACCTCATCCTTGACGGCCGGAGAAATCAGTGCACAGGTCAACATTTTGCAAGCCGTTTCATTCGTGGCCGAAAGTTGGCGAAAAATGAGCAGTGCGACAATTCGGAACTGTTTTTCTCACTGTCGCTTTAAGCATATTGTCACGGAGATGGATGTGAATATGGTGACTGTAAATGAAAATGACAGCGAGAATGTGGAGCTGAAACAAGTTGAAAATTACGAAAAATTTTTGTCAATCGACAACGAACTTCAACTCTATGATGGAAATGAAGAATGCGATGCTGCCATTGTTGCTCGAATAGCAGCGAAACACACGACAGCAACAGAAGACCATGGAAGTGATGAAGAGAAACCTAACGTGTTGATGCCAGTCACAAAACAGGATGCAAGGAAATGCATTGAAACATTGCACCGCTATTTCATGCAGGAAGGAAATGAAGGTAGTCCTATTAATGCGTTATATGTCTGTGGTGATTTTGTGCGAATGCAGTCTGTTAAAATAATTCGTCAAACCACACTGGATACGGTCTTCAAACGCTGAATGGAATTCGGTAATCCATTGGTATAAAACTGTACTTCGGATGCTGAATATCTTGTAGGTCGTTACGAAGAATTTGTTTGTAAATTTCTTTTTCAGTGAACAAATTTCGTTATCAAAGCAGTTCTTTTTTGTGTGTTTACTATAAATATATGCCGCCAATATAGGTCATAATAGTAGTTTCCTATGTTATGTATAGCACGTCCCATCTTGTTATATCGGGTAACTTCGGTTAATCGGACCAGCCGCTTAATAGGACCAAAATGGTCTGGTTCCGAGGTGGTCCGATTAACCGGAATCGACTATATATATATATATATATATATATATATATATATATATATATATATAACTGCATTGGCGACTCGGTCAAGGACAAATTCTACCTGGATCTACATTCGCTCTTGACTAATGCTAAAAGTCGGATGTCCTTGTTGAGGATTTTAATGCACGGGTTGGCCGCCTGTTACCATACGAACGCCACCTTAGTGATCATCACCCGCTCGATAAGATCCGCTCTAATAACGGAGAATTGTTTCAGATATTGTGCGAAGACAACCATCTATTTCGAGCACTAACTTCAGGCTTACGAAGAAACGTTCTGCAACGTGCCGTCCCCCTGCGCCAACACAACCGTGGTCTCAAATTGATCACCTTACAATCAGCTTCAGATAGCGTGGCAGCGTACTGGACTGCAGGTCCATTTGGTCCACCTTCAATGACTCAGAACATGCACCGGTCTGCGCGAAAATCTGCATGTGTTTTGGAGGGTCCAGAAACACGAAGCACGGCAAGAATGATGTAAACAGATTAACTGATTTCTCTATCCAGGCGAGCTATCCGTCTTCACTGGCATTTGCACTGTTACCATACACCGCAAGACGTGGAGCAACGCTGGACTCGTATACGGAAAGCGATGACCATTTCCGGACAGTCCAACTGCGGCCTAGCTCGACGCCCCTTAAAAACTTGGATCTCTGCTAGTTCTCTGGAGCTGTTCGAACGCCGCAAAGATATCCCCGCGGAATCGGATTACAACGAGCGGCGCTGTCCCGCCAACCGGCTGCTCAAACAAAGGCTACGCAAGGATCGCGAGACATAGTGGTCTGAGCGTGCTTTAGAGATGGAGACCGCTGCCCTCTCGGGCAACACTCGCAGGCTTTTCCAATTCATTCGGTCCATTGGCCTCAGGAAGCCTGGTGTCAGTGAGATCATTTGCGAGGTGGATGAGTCTCCGATCACCAACCAACAGAGATGTATGGACCGCTGGGCCGAGCACTTTCACTCGCAGTTCAACTGTCCTCCGCCATCCATCAGTACATGCAGCACACCTTGTTCTCCACCCTGGCTCGTCCCACTGAATCCACCCAGTGAAGCGGAAGTCTGCCTCGAGATTTGACGCTTGAAGCGGTTCAACGCTGCCGGCTCAGACGGACTTCCTCCGGAGCTGTTCAAGTACGGTGGCGTGGCGATCATTAACCAGCTGACCTCGCTGTTCGCAAAAATTTGGCATGAAGAGAAAGTGCCTTCCTCTTGGGGCGAATCAGCTATTGTCCCGATATTCAAGAAATGCGCACGCACTTCATGTGTAAATCATCGCAGGATTAGTCTTATTTCGGTTGAATAAAGCAATTGGCATCCATTCTGCTCTGTAGACTATCCCCAATACGCGAATCATCCTAACGTGAAGAACAAGCTGGTTTCCGTCCCGGCGGATGCGTGGATCAAATCTTCACGCTCCGCTAACTCCTCGGACATCGCCACAGGCGCACTATCGTTGCAATCCTAGACATACGTGTCGCTTTTGACTCCATTGATCGACCTCCTTTATGGCGTTGCTTGGTAGAGAACGGGGTGCAAGAGAAATATACCGCCATCTTGCGAGCACTTTACCTTCATATATCCGGCAGAGTGATGGTCTATGGCGAGCTCTCCTCGCAATTCACTGTCAATAGCGGTGTGCGACAGGGCTGCCCTATGTCCCCATTCCTCTTCAACTTCGCAATCGAAGACGTTCTGTCGAATGCTCTAGAAGGTTTCCAACATTTTGGCTTAGAGCTTCTACCGGGTGAGCGCGCGACTGACTTAGATTATGTTGATGATATCGCCTCACTTGGTGACGATCCTCGCGGTATGCAACACATTCTGGATCGTTTGGCAGTTGAAGCATCTAAGTATGCCATGAGCTTCGCCCCATCGAAGTGTAAAGTACTGCTGAAGGGTTGGCTTTAACCTGCTCTCGTGCTCACACTCGGAGGTACACAACTTGAACAGACAGATAGTTTCATCTACCTTGGGAGCTGTGTTTTTGTTGACGGCAATCAACAAAGATATTTCTATTCGCATCGCCAAAGCTCAATCAGCATTTGTCAATCTGAGGCACTTGTGGCGTCGTCGTGACGTCTCATTCTCGGTTAACAGCCTGCGAGTATTCACTTCAACAAAGTGATTTTGCTGCGCCATTTGAGATGGCTCGGTCATGTCCTACGCATGGAACCTGAGCGTCTACTGCGTCGCGCTATATTCCCTCGTCAAGGACCAGGCTGGAGACGACCGCATGGTGGTCAACCTTCCAAATGGCCACTGCACATGAAATCGCTGACGACACGTCTAGCCGCTGTCGGATCCTTACGTCTTCCAGGATGGGGATCAAAGATGAGGAGTGCCAACAGATTAACACTCGTGAAGACATGACCCGCGAGCAGAATAAGTGGAAGAATTGTGTACAGTATCGAATCGCTTCACATTTCTAATAATTCAAAGATTGAAAAAACAAAAGTGAAAAACCGGCGTGTGAAAAACAAAGTAAAAGCGTTTTACCTTACGTTTTGTCAAAATGTTCTTTCCTTCTTACCGCATATAAGCTGAATTGTATTGCCCAGCTTTAACTACTATGCCACGATGATTATGACGCGATGAAATTCAGTTATCCGCTGAGCGCCATGCTTTTTTGTTAACTCTGTGACCAGTTGCTTCATGCCCGAGATTATATGGTTGGCGGCATCGAGTTTCGGATTTGTCTGCCACTGTGGCTAGCCACAGAGACAGAAACAGGACGCCTGCACCTACAGAGGGACCATCGGTGATTTGTGCTGTAACACCCACAGCTCCATCCACACATCCCATATCCAGTGTAAACCCGGGATCAAGACCGGGGGGACATGTGGTTGAGAGCCACGTTTCATTAACGGAGCCGGCCTACATTCCTTCACAGGGAAACACAAGCACGCTGTATTTGAGGAATCAATCCCACACAACACGGTGGCTGGACCGTAGTCCACTCCACATTGAGTGCATGAAACCACTCTTTGAGCCTAGCATGACCACAAGGACCGTGTACCCTATCCCCTCAAGCAACGACCAACTGTCTCCTAGAGCCAGTATGGACGAGGTAGTGGGTAATAGACAGGTAGGCACCTTGTCAACATGCACATCAAGCGCAGCCACACCGGGGATAACAAGCAACAGCCAATCACTTGAAACGACAAGATGAAATAAAATAAATCGGATAATGCATACAGATACGGAGACATAACTCTTCACTAAGTGGGCGTATAAAAAAATGATTACGAACAAATCCGCGAAAAGTACAAGAGGTCAGAAAATATATTTTAAGGAAATGCCACAAACGCGAAAATGTTATCGAAATTAACTACAATTAGCTTCAGCGACGTGTGCAAGTTTATAGAAGATAGTTCAGGTAGAGATTAATATGAGAAAGAAAAGCATTAGGACAAAATTGCAAACCCACCACCTGAAATAAAGAGACTCAGCATGCAAACATGCGGTTAGTAAATCACATGCAGCGTACCTACAAACGATGTGCTGGTTCTGCCTACATTCTCTGCAGGACCCGTCGTCGCTTCGGTAGTAGTCCCGAGTGGCCTCGCTCATAGTTCACTGGGCCTGCCTGACCCAGGCACTCGCGATCGCATATGCTACAGCACCATGCGCTCGATGTCGATGGAGTACAACCCATCGGTGCTTGCCGCTTCTTCTCTGCATGCATGAGGCCTTTCTCCCGCACTTCGGCAACTGCCTTCGTGATCAGATCGCGCCATGCACGTCGATCAACCGCCTTCGATTCCCATGACCTGCAATCAAGATTAGAATAGCAGTGGCTCACTTTGATCATGTCCTGGTAACGATGCTTCGGTTTCCCCGAATGCCGCTTCCCAATACTCATTTGACCATATAATAGCTGTTTCGGCATTCGCGTTGAATTCATACGGCTCACATGACCGAGCTACCTCATATATATATATATATATATATATATATATATATATATATATATATTCACAAGTTTGTACACAGATAATGTGCCATCAGAACCATGACAAAGTGGAAGATAATAGACGAAAAAATAAGAAAAAAAGACAGATCTTTTCTGGATTTTACACACGTCTTTTTGAGTTTTTGTTGTTTTTTAAAGATGTAAATATATAACTGAGGCTAAGCATCAGAGAAAACTGCACAACACTGGCGCCACTGATGTCTGTTGCATGCTATCACATCAAGCGTTTGCAACCACAGGATTTCCGAATCACGTGATCGCCAACAAGGGAGGCGCACTGATCCGACTAAAACTAAGCTTGAGGCTGCTGTCTTCATACTCTTTTTCCATGACATTGGTTGTAAACCGCGATATTTTTCCATTGGCATCCGGGAAGCGCAAATAGCGCTCGCCGGGGAATGCGATAGGGCGGCATCCGCAGTACGTGGCCGAGCCAACGTATGCGGTGTCGGAGAACAACGTTTTGAAGACTGGGGCTGTTCGTTCCAAGCAATCATTCACGAACCTCCGTAGTGCTCATGTAATGTTGTCACCACACACAAACGTTCCTTCGCGGACAACGGTTGTCAAAAACTGACATTCGTCTCATGTCTTCGGAGCGAACAGGCCAGGTCTCAAATAAGTACTACAGGATCGTACGCACGGTAGCATTGTACACCCTGCGTTTGAGCTTAGGACTAACGTCACAACAAAGCCATAAGTGTCTCAGTTTGAAGAAAGCAAGGTGGGCTTTTGCGATGCGCCGTGATGCGACTCGCTAGATAAATGAAGCAATCCAATTGTTCCAGAATGTCACCAGCAATGGTGAGCGCGGACGCAGGCCCCTGCCAATCCTGAAATAGCACTTCACATTTGGCAAGGGTGAAATACAAGCCATAATTGGATGCCTCAATCGCTAAGCGGTTCAAGGTGTTTTGGACGGTTTGCAGATCGTCACCTAGCAAAAGGATGTCATCTGAGCTCATAGCGATATTTAGCTCACCACTGCAATGTAATTGCTCTATTCTGATATCGTTCATACTGTAGCCATTGCCAGAAGCCACCACATTCCTGAAAGATTTTCCAACAAGTATTATGTATCCGAAGCATTCGGGCAATTTTACTTCGGCACCAGCGGGGCTTATTCCTGCTTCTATCGGGGCGCAAGGGGGCGAACTCAACCAGCAATTGCATGACACTAGAGACTTAAGCATGCTCTAACGTTGCCTGTTCTTGAGCAGGAACCCAAAGGAGCTGGAGGGTTCTGTTCCGCCCATGGCTAATATCAATCCGGCCAAACTTTTTCACAAGTCGAGGTTTCAATGGTAGCTTCTTTACATTCACACAGTGATCGCTCCTACCTATGGGGGCCTCCGGATGCATCCCTGTTACATGGTCATGCCTAGCGATCACGAGATCTAAAGTGGAGGGGTAGTCCCAATTCGACTTCTCGTCGGAAGGACAACGTTGGACGGACGCATTCGCTTGTATCCATGTAACCAATTCTCGAATCCAAAGTACCTGACACGTTGATGGAACGCTTCCAATCTGCATGTGGGTGATTTAGGTCACAAAGTATAACAAAATTCGGTGCAACAACTACCGTTTGCTCTAACATGTTGCTGAGCTCCGTCTTCCACTCTCGTGGAGGAAAGGTTATGGTACACACAGACGAAATTTTCCAACCTGCTATCTACCCTCAAAAAGCAAGAAACAGCCACAAAATTCGACGGTGCCGTAGAAAATGTAGCTCCCCCGTGCTTGTTTATAACGAGCAAAAGTACCCCTCGACCAACTTGTTGCCCGGGTAGACCCATTATATGGAGAAATCCACCAGTAAGTCGCTAACTTGGTCAGTTGACGACATCCAGGGTTCAGTCAAAGCGACAACGTCAACTAGCCTGCAACTTAGTGTCAACTCTTCTCACTTATTCCTGAGGCTACAGCAGTTAATGTAGCACACTCTCAGACCCCCTCCTTGTAGCTTCCTTCCTTCGATGAACGATTCTTTATACTTCGCCTCGGACGCACAGTCCGAGGGGACAGCCCCTTTTCTGGTGCAGTTTCTGAACCATCCCCAAAACCAACAAGTTGGATTCCAGGATGGACAACGGGATTTCAAAAAGTCCCACGATATATATCCTTTTGTGGTCGCTTAATTTCACTTGTTTTGTTGACAGGACGCACAGCTGCTTTTTCATTGGCACCTTTACAGATTTACTTTTCTTTAACCGATCAACTATCAGTAAAACCAGTCTCAGATGCAGCTGGACTAATCCCAGGAGCGACCAACACTCCCTTACACTCAGCCTCCGAAATGTTCCCAACTGCTGAGGGTGTTAGTGGAACCGCGGCTGGACCAGCAGTTTCAGATAGTACTGCTCGCCCGCGTTCCATCAGGGAAGAGTTTGTGGTCCCTTCCCCAATACTATTTTCGACTATGGGAGCAAACATCAAGCTGTCTGTTATCTCCAAGATTTCCGCAGTCACACTCAGGTCACGCAGGTTGTCTTTTAGTAACTGTGTGGATCAAACGTTCGAGGCGACGTTGACTATTCCCGAAGATGTGTCGGAACCAGTAACAATTGCAACTCGTGTCATTTGACTGTCATGCACAAACGGAACCGAGACAGGAGGTCCATTTACTGGTGCGGTGGGTACAGAAAGTAGCGTGTCGGGTACCACTAGATATCGGCTCCTGGTTCGGCTTGCTAATAAGCCGGCAAGGCTGAGCAGCAAGTCACGGTAGATCGGGTTCTTAAACTCCACTAGGATAGGTCTTGCAAGACCATTTTTGTGCAATGTACTCGCGTTCAGCCAACTGTCTACCGGATGAATGCGCTTGATACAAACATGACGGTATCCCGACGTCACGGAGAACATCCTGCACCCGCCTTCTATACAACTCCCGCCGAAATTTCGCCTCCCGTATAAATGTTTCCTCTGTAGTGTAGATAAGGACATTCCGTTGCATGCTCATCGCAACTTATGAATGCAACGTACACAGGACGAAACCTCATCACTCACTGAGTTGGGGGCAGAAGGGAAGACCCATGTTAGCCCCATCACCTTCAGTTCCGCACCAAGACCACGTAGGTCAGTGCGATCCAAGGAACCGGAGCAGTCGCAGTAGAACAGTGCGGCCTTTGCGTAGGTGCGTATCAAGGAGTCATTTGAAACTTCCCTCGGTCTTTGCGTCAACAACAGTCGCCGGAAGACGATTCCAGTCATCCACGACCCGAGTGGAGAGGGCGACAGCGGTGCCGACCTTGAGCCTCCTCGGTTTGAATAAATTCCAGTTACAACCTCGTGTAGAGCCACCTACGTTAACTTGTGAAAGGTGATGTAGCTCGTTCCCAAGTTCCCCTCTTAGTATGCACCTGGTAAAGATGTAGTCTCTACGACGGCATTCCATGGAGAGCAGATTCATCTCCTGAAGCCGGAGGGGGTAGTAAGGATCATGAAGCCCGAAAAGGAACTGAGCCACGGCTCTGGACCTTTTCGATTGAGGCACATTCAAACTTAGAGAGTGGAAACGTAGCTAGCAGCCCATACTTTAGAATCGGTAGTACATGGGAAATGAACAGGAGCCTGAAGGTCTTCGGTGTCATTCGAGAGAAGGATCTTCTTATGACACAGCACATCCTGCTTGTAGCGGCAACTTTTTTCAGTGTATCCTGTGCAGTTTTTAGAACAGGTGCTATTATTACGCCTAGATCTTCCTCTTGAGTGGCGTGTTTGAGAAGGAATCCACCAAGGTGATAAGCTCCAAGTGGCTTAGAAACCCCGATCGGTAGACGTTGAAGTGCTTCCTGGTGAAAGGTTAGTTGATCTTGATTATGCGGACGATATCATCTTGCTTTTCGACGATGTTGCGGCGGCACAATCAACCCTGAATAGCCTCTCTGTAGTGGTCCCATTATTTGGCATGCGCTCTGCATCTTAGAAGTGCAAAGTGTTGCTGCAGGACCAACAGCCAGTTTATGACCTCTTGACGCTTACTAACGAGGAACTAGAGGTGGTTGATCATTTCACTTATCTTGGCAGCTGCATCAGCAACGATGGGCACATAGAAACTAACGTCAGCTCACGTATTGCAAAGGCCAGAGCTGCCTTCTTGAACCTGCGTCATCTTTGGCGACAGAAGGGAGTTTCCCTCCGTCTGAAAGGCCGTAGATACAAGGCCACAGTGAGGGCCGTCTTGCACTTTGGTAGTGACACTTGGCCTGTACGGTCTGAAGATCCAAAGCGCCTTCAATTCTTTGATCATCGTTGTCTGCGAAGCATTGCTGGTGTCGGATGGCACCAGCGTGTCCGCAACGATGATGTGCGTAGGCGAGTACTAGGTAGTGATAATCATGCTAGCTCCCTAGAACAACAGATAGCACTGAATAAGTTGCGTTGGCTCGGGCACGTGCTACGCATGCCTGGTCACTGCTTACCTAGGAGAGCCTTGTTCAGTTTACCAGGTGTCGGATGGCGCAAGGCTCGAGGTGGACAGAAGTTGACTTGGCAGCGGGAAATGAAGTCACTGACAACTAAACTGGGTGCCGTTGGTCAGTCTCGCCTTCCGGGTTGGAGTCCACGTGACTCACCTTGTGCTTGGCTCGAGACTTTACAGGACATGGCTCGCAGTAGACACCAGTGGCGCGTCTGCTGCCGTCTCCTAATCGGAATGTCTGTTTAAAGTGTGTTTGGTGCTGAGTTATCTGCGGGGTAATGGCTGATTATGACGCGTGGCAGTGAAAGCCGCAAGGAAGCTGTCTCGCCGATGCCGCCTTATCTTTGCACGCTAGCCAGCTGTTTGTGACGGTATGT